TAGGGACATCAGGGCTCTCCAGAAATCTTTTAATGGACCAAGGGGATCTCCCTATTTGCCTGGAGATGGCTCGAGTACTGAGCCCACCTTCATGATGAGCCTTCTCATCAGAGGAAAGCAGATGACCACGACCCATGTTGACAGTCAGGTTTAGAAATGCATTTGCTACACATGCTTACCTTTATAAGTATCTTTAAACACGAAATTCCCTCTCTTCCATGAATAATTGTTCACTTTCTCAGGGTGACCTTATAATTATGAAACTGTGCAAAAACCGATAAACTGTTCTAAAAAAGTTCAGAAAAATGCAGCTGCGGCTAGAAAACGGATACCTAGGTTATTCGTGCTGGGGAATCCGTTCATGATGCTAGAAAAAATCCTTGATGACTGCTTTTTCGAAAGTGCGAAATTTGAGGGTGACATTATAATTATGAAACGCACTGTATATAACGTGAAGTCTTCTTGAATCTACCTTCGACTCTAGAAAAGTTATTCTTGCAATATCTCCTTCCTTTTCAAATATTTATTAGAGCGAATTAATTGGAGTAACAATAGTAAACAAGGCACTTCTATCGAATTCTGCTTAACAATCTTCATCAAATTTTAATAACCGAGAAAGTTAAGTACTGGGAACTAACACATAATCATCCCGAAGAAATGGATACCCCACTCCTTGCCCTTCCGAAATCATACCAAACAACCCAAAATTAGGTGAATTTAATGAGATTAATTATAAAACTCTTTCTCAAACTAAAACTGCCACTCTCTAAACTATAGGAATGAACATAACAAGTATAAAATCACAATTTAGAGCAATTTCTTGACGAGGCTTTCGAGTGACCGAGCATCTTTATTGAAATTGCGAATTCCCTCAGCCAGTTTCTCACATGCCATCGCATCCTCGTTCATAGCCCATCGGAATGTCTTCTCATCGACTGTGATTTTGGGAATGTCCATTCCAGCGGCTGAAGCGAGAATTTGACGAAAACTACAGGGATGCTATTGTACTGCTAAGATAGAAGCACTTTCTAAGAAGCTAGATTCGCGGGTGACTTTTCGCATACTACTGATAATGACCGAATACACGGTTTTAACGAGGAAAAAATTTTTCATGCACCTAGAACTGACTGATATTGCGTTCATTTGGAACCTTGGTGTGATTAAAGACTTTGATGTACAATCCCAAAGATGAGCTACGGTGGGCTGGGAGACGGGCACTAGGAACGATTTTGGGCAATCGATGCGCCGCACGCGGCTGTCGCGAGCCATTTGCCTCGTTACAAAAGTTCTAGCAGTATTCATACAGCTCAATCAATATGCGATTATTAATTACGGCACGATTCTACTGCTAGTTTTTTGTTCCTGAATTTTTTACTTGCTGCTGCATTCTGCTACATTCCTTCGCGGCGGCAATTTCGTTCCTACTGCACCACACCCCGGCGGACTTCCAAGGACATGCTTTTGCGTATCGTCATTTCTGACTAACAACGATGGTAAAAATCAAGGAGCATATAACGCGAAGACAGCTAGCTAGCTCAGGGGAGGGGAGTGATAAGCTTATACATAAACATAATAGACAAGAATGATGATGGCAGTTTGAAGTGATAAGCGGACAAACTTCGTCTCATTCGAAGGTGCATGAAACCTTAACATTGATGTCCACTCATTACTGGTCGCCCCAACCTCCTTTTGAAAAACTCTTTTCAATATTATGCCGATGCGTCCAACTTTTAGACGTGGAATATATCTAGCGAGCAAACATCATTCGATTATTATATTGCACTACATTGAAGCCTTATATACATTTATATTCGCTCGCATAATGCTATTTGCTGATTCGGTTTTGCAGTGTCCCGACCTTATCTCCGGTGCGATATCTCCGTAATCTATTAGTAACCATTCGTATCATCCGTACGATTGCTCTCATTGTTAAACATGACAATGTTCCTACAAGTCATCCCCTATGACCCCACTCACCGTTAGAACTCTGCAGAGCAACCGGAACGACTTCCTGGTCCTGTGCAAGTTGTTGCAGCAAGGCTGGGCTAAATGTTCCAGATTCTATCAAGCTGTTCATCAATTTTCAAGAGAATAAAACTAAATTCAGCCTGACCTGATCGTCAGCAGATCACAACCCACTAGACCTTTAATTTCTTCTGTATTTCTGAATGATGCTGCCATGACTTGAGTTTTGTATCCATACTTCTTGTAGTAGTTGTAAATACGTGTAACACTCTAAATAACATTTAATGATTAGTAGTGAGCATACGTCTGACCTGGGCGAAGAGAAGGCAAGTAGGAAGATGGTGAGTATGTTTACCTTAACTCCAGGATCATCGTGACGGTTGTATTTCTTCGTGTCAGTATTCTTGACATACCAATCCATAATTCTTCCGACGAAAGGAGAAATAAGTGTTACATTCGCTTCGGCACATGCAACCGCTTGTTCGAAGTTGAATAACAAAGTCATATTACAATGAACACCATGTTGTGATTCCAGTATTCTGAAGTAAACGATTAGGTATAATTGTCTTAGGATCCTAATTAGCCCTTGAAACGTCTAGCTTTGAATTCCTTTCGTGAGCGTACAAGTAGGGTTTTATAGAACTACTTTTCGAGGTTTTCATTGAACTATTTTTCGAGTCTTGGATTACTATGTCAAAAGGGTAGCTTTTAAAAAGGGGGCGCATCAGATACGCGATGCCGTGGACGGGGACCACCAGACCTGCCCAGGTTTCAAGATCGCAGTGTTCCCGTCTAACGATTTCAGCTTCCTAGAAGCTCTCTGAGATCGACCGGCCCTGCTGACCTATGAACAACATGGCTAACAGTGTAGAACGACTCTGCTTGAGGCTAATGTGATCCGGCGTCCCGATATCCCTCTTGATAAAGTGATCAATTATGCCCGATCAGTTGGACCTCTTAAAGTTTGCATACAACATTTAGGGTCTTCATGAACTCAGAAAGCCCATAAGTTGAGATGTGCCACCAGCTCCTTGGCTACAAGAAGATTCAAGGTTGTGGAAGCGAATCAAGACTTTCGAGAGCAATTCATTTATCTGACCAACCAAAGTTATCATCGAGTTAGAATCGTTGAATATTACAAGATTTCATATAGATATACAAAAAACGCTAATAAGTCCTTGATGACCTAATGAATATCTAAAAATTTAAAATAACATACTTGGCAGCTTGAATACCTTCCCATGTAGAGGCAAGTTTGATTAGAACTCGTTCCTTCGATATACCAAGTTTTTCGTATTGGTCGATTAACGATAAGGCTTTGTCAACGGATGCTTTGACATCGAATGATAACCTAAATAAGTCGCAAGTGAAGAATGCTAACTATAAATAAGACATATGACGTTTTATCGCGAAGGGCTGCAAAAGCAGGATTCTGGAAACAAATAACAATCTTATCAGTCAAAAGTGGAGCAGGTGACGAATTAGTTACTGATTCATTAGGAAGCAGTTAAATATACAACAAAACGCTAACCTAGCATCAACCTCCGTTGACACGCGACCAGGAATGATTCTCAGAATTTCCTTTCCGAACACTACAAACAACCTGTCCATTGCCAACTCTAGTATCTAAATAGTAGAATTTTGACGATAAAAAAAGTAATAATCAACTGGAATGACGAACTTGCTCCGGTGTCTTCCCCGCTCCATGTTCTTTAGCATATGCTACAGCCTCTTGCATCAAAGGAGCATATTTTTCCATTTTTGAAGCCCCAAGAATGAGAGAAGGATTCGTGGTTGCATCAGTGGGTTTGAATTCTTTTATGGCTGGAAAGAAGTTTCGATAAAAGAAGAAGGTAGGAGTAACTAGTAAATAACCTTGCAAATAATATGAAACAGCAAGCACAGAATCACTTACAATTGAAATCTCCTGAGTCAGCCACGACCGTAGTCACTTTTTTCAGCTGTTCTAGTACCGACATTCTGAAATGCAGGAAATGTTGTGACAAGCGAAGTCAGACCGTAAACCCTCAAATTTTCCGCTACGCAGCTGTTGGAGTTTTTCATTCATTTTTCATCGAAAANGAAACAGCAAGCACAGAATCACTTACAATTGAAATCTCCTGAGTCAGCCACGACCGTAGTCACTTTTTTCAGCTGTTCTAGCACCGACATTCTGAATTGCAGGAAATGTTGAAACAAGCGAAGTCAGACCGTAAACCCTCAAATTTTCCGCTACGCAGCTGTTGGAGTTTTTCATTCATTTTTCATCGAAAACGGAGACAGATTTAACGAATCTTCTGATTCCATCGAAGGAAAGGGAAATAGACCGAATGATAGGGAAGAGCGAAAAGGATACATGATAAAGATAAAGCTTTCGATGTTAAGAAGGCCGTTCAGTAGTCGGTTTCGTGCTTAGGCATCAAGCTTCTGTTCAGAATCGTAGAGGTATCTGAACTCGTTTGAATATAACGGACAGCTGGGCCAGCCGGCCCTTAAGCTTATGTTTTTATACCTCCAGGCCAGTGTGGTTAATTAACAGTCGTCGGAAGAACGGAAAGATTGGCTGGCACAAACGACTTCGCACCGGGAATGAAAAGGGAAAAAACCGTCTGCATGTAAAATAAGCAAGTAGTTTGTTTACATTGGAATTATCATAACTTTGTGTTGAAAAGCTGTTTGCATATCGTATTTAAGAGAGAGTAAAGATGAATAACCGATGAGAATAAAAAAGTAGGAAAGTGAAGCAACTAGAGAAATATTATGATTTGAACTGGAAAAAATATCAATAATGCAGGTAAAAACCCCTAATTGTGTGCACAGGTGAAATATGGAGCGAAACGGAATATTAGCTCCATTTTCACAGAACTATTCACACAAACTAACTGAATTTTTTTTATTTTGCAGAAAACTTAAATTTTTGGTCAATTATAGTGAAATATTTCTATTAAAGAAAACCTCATTTTCCGTAGGAGCTCCACTTTCATACTGCTGTATTTCTTTCAATAATTCATCTCCCACTCGCTTAATAACTATACACAGACAGACATTATAAGCACCACTTAGGCTTCACACTTAACCCATTGACGACCATACCATATCGTGCCCCTGTAGTATTTATATTATTTATCAAGTCCTCTTATAATTTTTTTCCATGTTTTCAAGTATCATGTGAGCTCACAACCTTCTAGAGAACCTTGA